ATGGATGTGTGTTTGTTGTGTGCGTATGTGTGTGTGTGCGGATACAAATTTTCGTCGACGATTTCGGGAACACCGATCAACCGATTTGAAAATTCAAAAAACATTCGATTCGTATTGATAACGGAGCGTCCGATTTTAATAATTCACAAATCATTTTGTTTGTATTGACGAAATGAACAACTGGTAAATTTTTTGGTAAGGCAGGTCCAGCGGTTATGGACTCCCAATAAAAATAAGTTAAAAAACAATGTCAGTTGACAGTCAAAAATGTTTATTGGTCATATGTACATCAATTATCAGTTATTTTACAAAGATTTTAATATTGTGTACTCATTTTGTGTAATTTTTTTTAATTTTGAATTTTTTTATATGGTTTAAACAAATGTCTTCGACATTTTCGACAGTATGGAATAACCGATTTGTATGATTAAAAAATCATTTGGTTCATACTTGATCGCGAGGCGTTTTTGCAAAAAGCAATTTTGCCGTGCATAAGGGGTGTAAAAACGGTTATGCAGTTTTTGAGAGTACGTATTATCTGATTAGATTAATTCAAAAAACATTTGCTGGAGTAGATAGTGTGCAAAAAATGCATTTACTGAATGTTCACGTTTTCGGGCGCACGGATCAACCGATTTGAATGGTTTAAAAAACATTCGATCCCCATTGATAAGATGTGCTGATTAGTTTTTGGAAAAGGCAGGTCCAACCGTTACGGAGATAAAGAGCAAAGAGTGCAGAAAATAGAAATCGAGTTTTTGAGAGAACGGAGCATCCGATTTGAATGATCTAAAGAAGATTCAATTTGTAATGACGGTACTAGTGGTGATTAGTTTTTGGCAAAGGCAGGTCCAGTTGTTTTGGAGATATCGAGCTAAATGTGCAAAAAATGGCAGTTTTTGAGAGAAATAAGCATCTGCTTGTTTTGACGAAACAATTGCTTTGGGGGGAAAAATGTTTATTTATTTTTTTAACTTCCCGAAGGAGAAGTTTGTTTTCATCAAAAAATCCGATTCGCTAATTTTATGTTTTCTCGACGTTTCAAGCCATTCTGAATCGAATGAGACCAAATTTGAAAAAAGTATGTGTGTGTGTGTGTGCGTGTGCACCAACAGATTTTTTTGCCGTAAATCGCCGTTTTCTCAAAAACGGCTGGACCGATTTCAAAAATTTAAAAGCCATTCGATGTATCTCGATGAGGACTATTGTTTGTCAGTTTTGTGCGACGATCGGCCAAACCGTTTCTTCGTAAATAGCAGAGAAGTGAAAACTCTTTCATCCACGTTTTAGCCCGCAGTTATGAATCGATTTTGAAAATTCAAAAACCGTTCGAAAGATATTGGTTGGGAATCGTGCTGATTAGTTTTTGGTAGAGATCGGCCGGGCCGTTTTCTTGTAATAAGTTCTTAAAAAAAAAATTTCGACGCGATTTTTATGATTATTTTTTGACGGTAGATACCATAGTCTTCTATATCATACTAAAATATTACGGCCCTACGACAAAAGGTTCAGCTTTGAAAATTCGTCAAAGTTTGCAAAAATTGGTATTGTTTTTTTGGCATTTGTCAAGTTAGACCTTTGATCGACGTTTTCTCAAAAAACGCCTGAGCGATTTTAGAAATTTAAAGCTATTTGATGTATTTTGGTGAGGACTATCGTTTGTCAGTTTGTGTGACGATCTGCCAAGCCGTTTCTTTGCAATTTGAAAAAAAGTGTTAAACTTTTCGGCCACATTTAAGCTCATCCTACCGAACCGATTTTAAAAAATCAAAAACTGTTCGAAAGATATCAATTTGGGAATGATGCTGATTAATTTTAGGTGAAAATACCGAGCCGTTTTCTTGTAATTAACTGTTGAAAAAAAGTGTTAAATTTTCGTCGACATTTAGCTCATCCTACCGAATCGATTTTAAAATATCAAAACTGTTCGAAAGATATTAGTTGGGAATGATACTGATTAATTTTAGGTGAAAATCTACCGAGCCGTTTTCTTGTAATTAACTGTTGAAAAAAAAATTTAAGCCGATTTTCATGGAACTTTTTTTGGCGATATACATCATGGTCTTATAGAACTTACTGAAATATTATGGCCTTACGACAATTAGTTTAATTTTAAAAATTCGTCAAACTTTGCTAAATTATTATCGTTTTTTAAGTAGGATTGATGAAGTATATTATTTACACTTTTTTTTATTAAGTCGATTATTTACACATATCGGGAAGTTCATGTAATTTGCCTCAAGGCTAAATACCAAACCAACTAGTTTTTTTTTAATTTTGAAAAAAAAAACTTTTTTTCAATATCGAAAATAATCGAGTTTTCAATTTTTTTCTAGCTAAAGTTCTGAACTCACTAAAATAAATAATTTTAACTTTGCAAATCAGTTTATATAATTCTTATAAATATTAGACAATGTTTTCATTTTAAATTCGATTGATTGAGTTTTGTTTATTTAGTTTCTGTAAACATATATAATTTTGCAGTATGTATTTGAAAAAATAATCTATTTGAAAACATTTAATATTCCTCGAAGATTTTTGTTACGGTACGGTAAGTTCCAGCAATTTGCCTTAAGGCACGATGCCATACACACCACTAGTTTTTATACATATTTTCACAGACAAATACAATTGCATCAAACGATTCATACATTTTAGTCTATTGAGACAAATTGCACCTAGATAAAAAAGAATTAAAAAACACTTTTGATAATTTAATATTTTATTATTATATAAAAGAACAATTTGTTTATAAATAAATTCATTATTAGTTATTTCATTTATTAATTACTACTTTTTGGATTCAAAATGAATCTTTATATTTACAATTTTGATGAACACGAATCGAAATACAATGGTACCCTGACTTATTTGGCATACTAGTATTTTGAGATACGAGCAGCCAAAGTAATGATCAAAAAATCTTCCTTCCAATAATTTATATAAGAACATATGTTGCGCTATAAAATTATATTCAATCAAATAAAATAAAATTGTAAAGGTAACATAAAATGTATATGACTTAAGTACGTGTATACAAAGTCAAAAAAAAAGAAGTAACGATTCGGTTGAAATTCGAGATAGTACTTTGATTTGAGTGGGTAAGAGCTTTCTAGAAAAATGTTAATGATAAAATAGAAATATGAAACATTTTGCCAGTTGTAATAATGATTTTTTTATCAAGAAATATTGGATGTTTTATGATAGTAATTAGTAGTTACAGGAAAATTTAACCCTTTCCACTGTGGCGGGATTAGCTCAAGAGTAGCGTTCCCGATTCACATGCTGGAGGTTCCAAGTTCGAATCTCCGGCAAGAATTTGAAAAAATATTAACTAGTTAAGAAGTAATGAGAAGTATAGAAGAAGAAGAAATAGTGGTTAGAAGAATGAGAGTGAGAAGAATGGAAGATAAGAATATAGAAAAAGAATAGGATTATATGAAGACGATAAGTATAAAATTGAAGATTGTATAGGATATATGATTGTATAAATAATGTAAGTGGCTAAATGCTCGAGTAAGCGAGGCTAATAAAAAAAAAAAAAAACAAATCCACTCGCATGCCGCTGCTCGAGAAAATTACTATATGCTATTTAAATATTAATATATTTACTAATTAAGTTTAAGTTCGAATAATGATAAATTATGAATTGAACTAATAAGATATGTATGTAAATCAAATGTAAAAAAATTAGATGAAAAAAATAATAAATATAATGAAATTGAAGTGAAGTAATGAGAAGATATAGAAAAAGAAGAAATAGTGATTAGAAGATGAAGTGAGAAGATAGTAAAGAGAATGAAGATAAGTTAAGAAGTATAGAAAAGGAATAGGATTATATGAAGAAGATTGTATATGATTGAAGATTGAATATGATTGTATAGAATAATGTAGTTGGCTAAATGCTCGAGCAAGCGAGGCCAATAAAAATAAAAAATAAAAAAATATAAAAAACCCTTTCCACTCGCATGCCGCTGCTCCGGCGGCAAAATTCGTATAATCTCGGAATTGGGGAGTCGAAAGGGTTGATATTCAAAAAAATCACGGCGGCGCTGGAACAAATTAATGATCTGATAAACAAACAATGTATTTATAAGGAAAATCAGCTTTGAGATATGAGCGAGGTTCGTATGTCGGAGTACCACATAACAATGAACATTAATTTTAAGACTCATTCATAATAAAATGGTTCCCAAAATTCATCACATGTGATTGCTCGTGTGATTGCATATGTCTATCAAGTGCATATGGTTTATATTGTTTACCACATAATTTACATGCTTCTTTTTCGAAATGTTTTCGCTCATGTTTCTTAGTTTAGACGCAATACGAAAAGTTTTGTTACATTTTCCACAAGCAAAGGGCCTCTGGCTTGTGTGCAATCTCATATGATTAGTTTGCAAACTTTGACTAGCAAAACCCACATTGCAAATAGTGCACATGTGCGACTGTTTTTTTAAATGTTCAAATTCAGTGTGCATAACACAATTTTTTTCTGTTTTGAACCTCTCATTGCAATACTTGCAAACGAGGGCTGATCTTTGTTTTAAGGAGTGACTTCGCTTGTGATCTTTGAAATTACAGTGAAAATAATATGATTTGTTGCATATGTCACATACAAGTGGTTTGGTTTCAGCGTGCTCTTCCCTATGTATAAATAAAGCTCGTCTATTTTTTAAAACTAGACTGCAGGTTTCACATTTGAACTTCCCGGTGGTTGAATGCTTGTTAGCATGTGTGCTTTTAAGTGATTGAATTTGTAAATGCCCTCTCGCATATTTTACAATAAATTAGTACACCAGAATGCTTTTCCATGTGACCTATTAGTTTTATTCTTTGCATAAAAGTTTGACCACACAGTTCACATTTGTATTTACAGTCTTCTGAATGTGCGTTTACATGTGCTACTAATGATGGCTCATTTTTGTACTGCTTTGGACACAGATGACATTTGAATGGTTGGAATCCTTGGTGGATTTTCCTATGGTCTCGCAGATCGGTCAATTTGCTGAACAAAGCTTCACAACAATCGCACTTGTATTGTTTCGCGTGCATTTTGAAGTGTTCGAGTAAAAGATCCTTTGTTTCAAATACTTGTCACATGTTGAACATTTGATATCAGGTTTTACATCAGGGAGTCGTTGTAAAAGAACCACAGGTTGTGGGTTGCATGTTAGGAAATGTTTAAACAAATCTAAACTTATGGAGGTTTCGTAAGGACACCTTTTACATTTATATGAACCTGATCCTATTCGATTTGACTTACAATTATCATTTACCATTTTATGTCCTTTCCGTTGATGCCACTGCATATGCTTTGTCAACAAATAATGAGTAGTAAGTTCTTTATTACAGATACTACAAGTCATCCCTTTTAAATGATTGTCCATGTGACAATCCAAATCCCTTTTATAAACGTACTTTTTCTCACAAATCTTACAGTTATATCGCTTCAATCCATGTGATTTTACATGATGTAAAAGAGTTTCCATTCGCTTAATATTTTTTTTACAAATTTTACATTGATATGACTTCTGGCCGACATGGGTTTCCATATGCTTCTGCAGTTGTATATGTTTTACAAATTTTTCATCACATACTTTACATTCGAACCCTTGCTGGTGTATTCGAGAATGAGTGCCTAAACCAGCTAGGAATTTAAAAGACTTATTACAAACTTTACATTTATGAAGATAGTTAGAGGTATCTATAAGATAATCTTTTTTCTCTTTATGTTTTTCTATGTGATCGTATAGTGACTTGGGAAGAATGAATACCTTTTCACAGAATTCGCATTTGTAACTTTTCTTTTCGTGGTTTGCAGAATGTTTCAACAAAGAGCTTTTTTTGGTGTAAACTTTTTCGCATTTTGTGCATTTGAAAATGTTATTTGGGTTTTCTTTTGTGGCTTCAGTGTTTATTTCCGGGTGTCCATCTTCAATGTCCACTTGGCACATATTGCTTAATAAATCCTGATAAACTTCAAACTCTGCATCTTCATCGTTGTTTTGATTTTCTAAGTCAATAACAGGATATATTTCTTGGGAAACTTCTTGTGATTCAGCTTGAGCTTCTGGTGATTGATCTTCTTCTGAATGAACTTTATGTGATTCACCTTCTCGTGATTGATCTTCTTCTGAATGAACTTCATGTGATTCAGCTTCTTGTGATTGATCTTCTTCTGAATGAACTTCCTTTGATTCAACTTCATATGATTCAGCTTCTCGTGATTGATCTTCTTCTGAATGAACTTCATGTGATTCACCTTCTTGAGATTGATCTTCTTCTGAATGAACTTCATATGATTCAGCTTCTCGTGATTGATCTTCTTCTGAATGAACTTCATGTGATTCACCTTCTCGTGATTGATCTTCTTTTGAATGAACTTCTTTTGATTCAACTTCTTTTAACTCAGAAAATTTTGATTCGGCTTCTTCTGATTGAGCATCTTTTAAATGAACTTCTTGTGATTGAGCATCTTTAAATTGAACTTCTTGTAATGAAGATTCTTTAAATTGAGCTCCTTTTTTTAGAGCTTTTTTCAATTCAACTTTTTTTGCTTGAGCTTTCTTTGATTTAGCATTTTTCGATTTACCACTACTTAATTGTCTAACAAAATCAGCAATATCATCTTTACTGAGTCTTTTCACAGCACCTCTTGTTATTTTACCATGTTTAGATTTATTAATTACATCAACAAAATTTGTTAGCACTACTACACAATTTTTCATTTCTTGGTTCATTTTTACTTTTACAAATGTTTTACATGTTCAATAAAAATTTAAATATATTACGAATTTCGAAATAAATGTTATTTGTTGTATAACTTGGTAATATTAATACTGTTTTATATAAATAATACGTAATTTTGTTTTATAACAGAAGCTTGTATGACAAGCCGCCAAAATTATAAATACTTGACAGGTACTAGACATTTGACATTTTGGTTTGCAGCTGCGTATACATTGACAAATATAAGCGACGATTTTCAACGATGATATCCATGGGGAGTTATCTTCGAACAAATGCGCGTTGCACTGTTTTGGTCCTGAGTAGTTTCAATTTTTAAAAACAGATGGCTCATGTGCACCCAATTTCAACTACAAATTGTTCGTGGTTCATGCAAGTGGCTGTCAAGTATTTGATGTATGGCTGTACGAATAACCTAACTTTTTGAACTCGTGTTGTTTCTAATTAATTAATTTTGTTTAAGTGAACATTTGTGAAATTTAATATGGCAAAGTGTTTTTATAGTACCCAAAAAAGTGTCAAGTGCGGGTTAAAATATTTAGCTATTCCAATACAAGTTTCCGCAAAGGTATTTTTTAATAATAATTGCAGCAATAATTATATATAATCAAGATATGTCAACATGTTATTATATTGAATAGGTGTTTGGGGGTACCTGCAAATTGCTGCAAATGCACGAACAAAGCGCAGGAGTACTTTTGACAACCAAGGAATGCAATATGTAATGACAAGAAGGATTCATAAACAATGCAATAATTTAAGGAATAAGTCGTACAAAAAGTCTTCAAAGGTCTACTATTTTTGGAGACAAATATTTATTTTGCCATGTCCTCAAACATTGAGAAAGTTGCATTCAGAGATACAAGTGTATAGCGGTATTTATGAGTGTCTATTAAAAGATTAGGTTCAGCTATTTCTTTTAAAAGTATTAGTAGCAGATACTGTGTTTTGATGTTTGATGAAATACCATTATCTTCGGAATTGTTATATGATTGGATTGAATCTCATATTGTTGAAGTTGCAAAACAGTTATTCAGCTAGTATGGTTTAAATGTTCATCAACGCAAGTTCATTGTTATATTTAATAAGATTATATATTACATTAGCAAATGTAAACACTTATAAAGAGAGTCTATACCATACATAATATTTTAATGTATTTTGATTGAAGATTAGTGTTATAATATTCTTCAAATAAAACTTGTGTAACATCCCAATATAATGTTTAAATTCAAGATATATTTGTTACTGACCTTGGGAATCAAAAATATTGCTTTTATCTTTTGATTCATAAACAATTGTATGTGCATAAAACATTATTCTGTTCATTGTAAACACTTTGTTGATCTTTTATGGCAATTTCAATGATATAATGTTTTCATGATGGAACATGGCTAAATGTAATGTTATAAAACACTCGTACAGAAACTATTCAAAGGTTTTGTTAAATGCAACTTTACTATTAATTCATTAGATAGCGAAATAACTATTACATGCAGAATTAATAAAGAACAATGTCTCGTAAATGAGTTTTAATCCTAGGAATTTGAATTTCTCTCAATTTTGATATCAATATATATATTTTATGTTTTTAGGACTTTTTTGTTTGTGAAGTATTTGTACTTTTTAACAAATTATTTGTTTTTTTCTTAACCCTTTAAATTTTTGTATTATTTGTCATTCCTTCTAAATTTGTAATTTCATTGCGTGCTCCTGTGCTTGTAGTTTCTTCTTAGTTTTTAAGATTATAATATATCAATATTAGTCATTAAGTAATTAATATTAGTCAGTTATTTGTGCTTAGTTTAGTTAAATACTTCTGTGATTTTCTTCACTTAGATATTTAGTTTTTGAAATACTATTTAAGCATAATTGTGAAATTATAATACTTTTATAATTATGTATAATAATTATTATATTTTCAAACATTCCATAACTGTAATTATAATTGTTAATATAAATAATTTTAATTGTTCTTTAAACATATGTAATATCTTTGAAAATATATATTTGTATTTCAATCGAGTATATATTTGTATATATATATTTGTATTTCAATTTCAATTGTATACGATACGTACAAATTAAGAAGTGAAACCAGGGGTAATTTAAATATTATACATGTGCTGCCATCTATTTTTAAACATTTGTATTTCAATCGAGGTAACGTCAAACCGCCAGACATAGCGATCTATTATACTTGTTTATCTATGATGATATCCATAGATAAATAAACATCACATGCTTACGGTTTATATTTATTTATCTATGGTGTACGCGGTGTATGTACTTTTTTGCCTTTTTAGTAATGTATTATAGATTAAACTAAACTATAAACTAGTGGTGTATGGCGTCGTGCCTTAAGGCAAATTGCTGGAACTTCCCGTACCGTAATGAAATATTCGAGAAATTTTAAACGTTTTCAAATATATTATTACAAATACTGTAACTTTCATTATTTTTGCTATCTTGTTTTATCTGAGCAAATCAAATGTAAACCATAAATCAATTTTTCTCCAGAAAGAACATTAACAATCGTCATTCCATTTCGAATTCAATTTAAAAAAAATAGTTGCCTAAATTACACAAAATTGAAAAATTGCAGTCAAAACGCATTTGCAAATAATTTTGTGCGACATTTTCATACTTTACCGTGCTTAGCTTGGCGGCATTTTCACATTTTTCAATAGTTTTCACAAAATTGTAAAAGTGCTCCAAACAGTCTAAACGCACTTGGGTAAACATTTGCTCCAAAGTGGCGCTTAGACCGTGCTTAGACTGGGTAATTTTTGAATTTTTAATCCAAAATTACAAACATATTTTTTGAAAAAAAAATTAGAAACAATTTTTTTTCCAAAAGTAATTATTTTGTTGAAACAAGCAGAAAGTTCTTTGAATCATTTAAATCGGACGCTTAGTTTTTCAAAAACTGCCATTTTTTTAACATTTAGCTCTGTATCTTCCAAACCGCTGGGCCTACCTTTGCCAAAAACTTAAACCACTTTTCCCCGTTATTTCGAACTGAATGTTTTTTGGATCATGCAAATCGGATTCTCTCTCTAAAACTCGATTTCTATTTTCCGACTCTTTGCTCCATATCTCCGTAACGGCTGGACCTGCCTTTGCCAAAAACTAATCAGCACATCTCCCTATTAATAGGAATCGAATGTTTTTTAAACCATTCAAATGGGTTGATCCGTGCGCCCGAAAACGTGGACGAAAAAATGCGGACATACAAAACATACACTCACACACACACACACACACACACACACATCCATTTTTTCTGAGTTATGCCAAAATGTTCAGAAACCTTCAAAACGTCGAGAAATGCAAAAATTTTCAATTTCGATTTTTGGACGATTACAATAGCTTTTACCCTACGGGAAGTTAACTAGTGCATGGTTTGTGCTTTAAGGCAAATTTCTGAAACTTTACGTACCGAAAATTAAAATTTTTAATAAAGCTTTAATTTTTTTTTTGAAAACTTTGAATAAAATATATTTTTGAGAATTTAGAAATTTGTCTAAAAATTTCAATTTTTCAAAAAATTTGAAATATTTTTTATATTTTGAAATTTTATAACTTTTTTTAAATTGATTTACAAGCACGGCCGCTTTGACATTACTTATATTTTGTTTCCGCACTCCATAGGGGCCCCACTAACGGCAGTTTTAATTCTTGATAATATTTATATAAATATAAAATATAGAATAGATAAACGTGATTAACTTGAATTAATGAAATGAGAACAAAATAAACGCGTATAAAATTATATGAGATCTTAAGAAAGTTTAATTAAACCACAAATATGTTTCACAAAAATATATAATTTAAAAAAAGTGCGCGTAAAGTTCACACGTGATTGAAGTAAAAGACATACATCATACAGCAATTTTGAATAATATTTATTAGTAATATGATGACACTAATATGGTATACATATTTATATAGTAAACGTTATAAATTATATATTTACAATACCATTAAAAACATTTATATTGTTTGAAAATATTAATGTAATTAAAGTCACACTTTATTTATTATTGGTTTGTCATTGTAATTAGCATTTAAAACTTGAACCTTTATTAGAGAAATGAAGTAATTGCTGATTTATAAATTTTATAATATTGCTCACACAGTGAACTTATAACAATTTTGAATAATTTCATTAACACTATCAATAAATAAACTGCATAGATGTCTATTATGAAGTATATCTGTATATAAATGATACATAGCTACACTATTGTTGTGCTTAATCTCTTGTTTGCAGTAATAAATCTGAATATCGATTTATTCTTCATTATTTCTAAAAAAATGCAACTTTGTAATACTATAATAGCCATCATGATCGAAAAACATGTGGACTTTCTCTATACTTTCAAAAGTGTCTGAGACATAATTCTGAAAAAGATATATCTTCGGCATGATATAATAAAGCTGTGCTGTTTTGATATTTTTCATATCTATAAAAATGCAGAGAATTATTATGTCAAACAACGCCTAACGAAATATTGTTTTCACAATTTTACTTATCATGTAATTGTGTTTGAAGAACTTCATGTAATTAAAACTAACATACATTCATTGACTGCTTGTTTTTTTTTACTTTGTTGCTGGCGATACAGTCTCATTGTTTGAGCATCTGTAATAACAGACTTGCCTTTAAAAATAAATTTTATTTTAATAACCTCAAATATATATCACCACGCGACGAATAATACAAATTACTTCAATAAACTTACGTTTCTTACACGTCATATTTTTCATTTGTTTTATTATTTTCACTATACAATCAAAACAATCATACTCAAGCGACACGACGACCAATCACAATCGACTTGTGTAGAAATGATCTTATCGAGAGCGAATGACGAATCATTGGCATTTGACTTGGCCGTAACGCTTTTCCGTTGCATTTGCACAGATTTACTCCATAGTCGCGCCTAAAAAAGTTTTACTTCAAAATTTTCTGAAAGTTAGCTGTCAA